TTTTTTAAGGTTTACCTTGACTTATAGCAATAGCACTTAGACTTATATACCGCTTCACGCTGCTGTTACAGCCCTCTCTAAGCGGTTTACAGAGTCAGCCTATGAGCCCCCAACAATCTGGAGTCCTCATTTTACCGACCTGGGAAGGACGGAAGGCTGAGTCAACCTTGAGCCGGTCAGGATCAAACTGCCGGCAGTGGGCAGAGTCATCCTGCAGTGCTGTATTCTAACCACTGCGCCACCTCAGCTCTTATGACCCCAGTTGAGCTGGAAGTTCTACTGTAAGGGGATGTGGTCACAAAATGGGTCATTACAGGACCAGACCCCAATTTTACGATCGTTTTTAACTGTGCTCATTAGAGGAATCATCACAACTTGTTAAGCAAAATCCGGCTTCTCCCGGATGACGTTGTGTGTCAGAAGGTTGCAAATTGGGATCGCAATTGTGACTGCAATTCCCATCAACGCCAGCCAGTTGCCAAGCACCCTCATTGTGATCATGTGACCACGAGGAAGGTGCGACGGTAGTAACTTTCAGGATGAGTCATAAGTCAACTTTCTCATGGCTGTTGTAACTTTGAAGCATCGTTAAACAAGCGGTAGTAAGTGGAAGACGTAGGGTAGGGCTGCTCCATTCAGCTGAGCTGTAACATCCTTTCTTTGGCTTAATGAACTCACCAACCTTGTCAGTTGGGTCAACTAATGGTTAGTACCTCCTTGGAGTTAAATTAGGGTCAACAGAATTCAAGGAGAGTTAGACTTGGTTCATTTGTGACTACGTAGGGATTCTAGGCTGGACCCTCTTTTGACTTCACCCCCAGGTTCTGCTACTCCTTCTCCTACACCTCCCCACTGGCTTTTTGCAGACTTACCTTCAGCTCTAAGCCACGGATCATATCTTGGTCAAGGCCCCGCTGTCCCCGGAAGGCCAGGATTTTCTGGCGGGATGTAACCATCTCCTTGCTCAGCACCGATGTGATGTTCTCAAAGACTTGCAGCTTGGTCTCCAGCCAAGAGACCCTCTTCACTCTTCTCAAGAGGGTGCACCAGCTCACCTCCCACTCCTCCACCGGCGAGGCGGAGAAAGAGCTTTCTCCCCCAGGATCCTGAATCATCAGGGTGAGAGGAGCCTTCACCAAAAGCTTGGCATCTATTAAAGGTGAGTTGGACTGACTCCCTCTTGGAGATGAACTGCCCTTCAGGTGGTTGACATACTGGAGCAGCAGCATCAGGTGTCTTCCTGCCGCGTTCTTCTCATGAACGTTTTGATCCCCTGTGTTGCCCTGTTGGGAAGGAACAGGACAGCCATGACAGGAGAAGGACTCAGTGCTTTGGTCCCGTTTGACAACTCTCAGCCTGGCATCCCTCAAGGGCGCCAGCCGGAGTGTCCACACCTTGGCAGAGATACTGGTGCTCACGGCTTCCCAGCCCTACCTTGAATAAACATCCGATCCTGGAAAATCGGCAACCTTCATCCCTGGGGCAAAGTCCTGAAGGATTCTGTTCGGGGAAAGATTGGCAAAAATGGAAGAAAAGAGAAGTAGGTGGATGGATGGAGAGAGAAAGAAGGGGATGGGAGGATGGACGATAGAGAACAGAGAACAGACAGATACAGACATGGAGATAGGAAGCTATAAAACACAGATGTAAACCTATACGGTTAAAATACAGAAAGTCAGATAAATGTAATGGGAGGACCTGGCGTTCATTCCTGGATGTTTCGGGATTATCGCCAGCATCTGGATCCATCGACACCCTGCACACCGCCGCCTGACCGTAGTTGACCAGGACATATTCACACATGCGGCGATGATCCTGCAAGATAGGTTTTGCAAGAGAAAACCCACGGAGAAAAGGAATTTGATTTTTATAGGAGTTGAAGAGCATCTACGAGGAAGGGGAAGGGAGATATGTAAAAAGAAACCCGCACATGTGCATAAAAAGAAGCAGGGCTTTGATGACGTGACGGTCGCCCCCATTCGGACTTTTCTTTTAACTAGGGACACCTGTGATGGAATGTTATCCAGATTCCCAGAAGGGAGGGGGGCATTCCAGAGGAGCAAGAGACAATGCAATTTAGACAGTTTGTGTGTGAGAAAGAGGATGAAGACTGCCCCTCCTCAATGGTTCCCAGAGGGCACGTTTTATGTGCAAATAGTTTAGCTTGGCAAGATTTATGTCTATAAGTGAGGAACAATAAAGAAATTTGCTTAGAAGAACTGCAATGTGTCTTTCTTGGTTTTGGGGAGCCTGACAACACCCCTGTCAGAACATCTCTCTATTTGAAAGTCATCTCTGAAGTTAATGGCAATAATTTCCCCCAAGATCAGACTAAGATTCTCTATGATCCAAACTGGATCACCTCCCATATCTCTTCCGTTCTTCCTCACTACACAGTTAGCCAGTCCCCCAGCCGATATGCTTTCTCCCTTACTTCCAAATTGCTCATTGGACCCTTCCAGATGCATCCTGGTATCCCACAATGCACGGCAAATTCCGGAATCTCCTTGTTAAGGGTGGCCTTGCAAGGACCCTGGAAGCAAACGAGGACACACATCAAATGCCGAACTTTTGCAACGCCGCGATTTCTAAGCTTGAGTTAGAAACAGGATTAAGCAAAGCTTGTGAAGTTATGAACCTGGGTTGGAATCGCACCCCTTCAGGCCTAAACCATGGTTTGCAAGACGGGGACTGAAATTAAATGGACCCAGCTTTCGCTGGATGCAGCAGAACCATTTTCAAATCTCCTTGATCCGTCCTGTTCCTGAATTATTATTTTCCTTTCCACTAGAAGCTTTGTCAAATGTTTTTTAAATGAGTGCGTGGCAAAATGCAATTCTTAAAAAGGAACTGGATGTGGGGAGGGGGGAATAAAACAGACAGTTTCGGCCATCCAGAGTGAAAGATCAGCTCTTAAAGGTGTTTTTAAAGCCATATATAAAGCATATTGGTTGCATCGAATTAGGATCACCCAATTCTTATTGCCGGCATTTGATAAGAGAAGTTTCCACTTGGGAAACTTGAAATCTCCCAACATTGTTGAATCACTGGGAACTCATTTTGCTTTGCCTTGGCATAGTGTTGTGAACCATCTTAACCCAGTTGGAGGGCAGCCATTTTCACATCTTTTTGTGAGAATTTGTCAACTCTCAGCTGTCCCGTTTACACACAACGGTCCATTGCTAAGTTCAACGGCAAGAAAAAAAATACCTTTTCTTCGGACGGTAAATTGTCTTTCCCGTCAACTTCAGAATCTCCTTCTTTACAATCCTGGCAAGTGGGGTTGCTATTATTTCTGAGAGAAACAGGAAAAGAAAAAGAAAAAAAAAGTGGTCCCCAAGAGATTTTAGCTGGAATCTTTCCGAGGACAAATTAGCTGAGGGTTATTTTAGTTAGAAGCATTCAAATAATAAGGTCTCTCCTTCTGTTTTCCCCGCAATCATTTTTTTTAAGGAGGTTTGAGCTGAGAGGGACCGGCCCAAAGTCACCCAGCTTTTATCCCCGAGGCAGGATTAGAACTCATGATCTCCAAGCCTCTAGTCCAGCACCTTAACCAGTAGACCAAACTGACTCTCTAATAGTACATATGTTTCTTGGAATCTTTTTCCTAGGCTGGGACACAATTCGTCGGTGGGATGACCATAATAGCAGTGTTCTAATATCTCAGGGGCTGCCACAAAGAAGAGGGGGGTCAAGCTCTTCTCCAAAGCCCCTGAAGGCAGGAAAAGAAGCAACGGATGGAAACTAATCCAGGAGAGAAGCAACCTAGAACTAAGGAGAAATTTCCTGACAGTGGGAACAATTAACCAGTGGAACACCTTGCCTCCAGAAGTTGTGGGTGCTCCAACACTGGAGGTTTTTAAGGAGAGATTGGGCAGCCATTTGTCCGAAATGGGATAGGGTTTTCTGCTTGAGCAGGGGGTTGGACTAGAAGACCTCCAAGGTCCCTTCCGACTCTGTTATTCTGTTACCCTAAAGAGTTATTGGGGACATCCGCACCTATCGTTTGAAAAGCCAGAAAATGAAGAGATGGGAAGCCACCTCTTTTGTTAAGCATTTCCATGAAATGCTTAACAAAAGCAGAGCAGTTGAGCAGAGCAGTTGAGACATCTTATAAGGGATCATTTTTTTTGCTAAAATGGCCTTCCCACAAACCTGGAAAAAACAGAAGGCGGTGTTTTTTGGACGAGGAGAGGAGATGGAAAGACAAGAAAGTCTGTTTTGCTTTGTTTTGTTTTCGTTTCTCCTCCTCTTATCCAGCTTAATCCTCTTGATAGCGTTGCTACGAGAGGGAAGCAGAGAGGAAGCAGGGAGAATTGCGCAACAGGGCACGCATTTCCGTGACATGTGCAGACAACCAAACCAAAACACTAGATAGCCTTTCCCAAAAAAAATCATCCTGAGATTCTCCTGGATTTGGGGGCCCTAAATTAAATGGGCGAATCGATAGGTCCCGTAGTCCTGGCACGGAGCAAAGAGGGAAATAGGGAAATATTTCGTGGAGAGCAGAACGTGGCAGTTGATGCACGCATTGGGGTTTTCAACCTGGGGGGTCCTTCTCAAATATCTCTGATTTTTTTCCCCCCTCCAACCTTTAGAAAACTGCTTGGGCAATCACAGGAGAATCAGTCTCCCTTGCCTCTTGGTTCTGTTGGCTACCGTGTGCCCAGTCAGGATGAGGGGTTAGGACCAATTTGAGGGCTTTGGGATAGCGGTGACTCTCCTACAATTTTTTCCCAGCTCACCCCAGCTCAAGAGCAACAAAGGTGATCAGGGGGCTGGAAGCTAAAGCCTAGGAAGAACGGTTGTAGGGATTGGGTATGGCTAGTTTCTTGAAAAGAAGGACTAGGGGTGACCTGTTAGCAGAGTTCCAATATCTAAGGGGCTGCCCCAAAGAAGAGGGAGTCAAGCTATTCTCCAACGCACTTAAAGGCAGGACAAGAAACCATGGATGGGAACTCATCAAGGAGAGAAGCAACCTGGAACTAAGGAGGAATTTCCAGACAGTGAGAACGACGAGCCTTCAGAAGTTGTGGAGAAATGATTGGACAGCCATTTGTCTGCAATGGCATAGGGTCTCCTGCTTGTGCAGGGGGGTTGGACTAGAAGACCTCCCAAGGTCCCTTCCAACTGTGTTATTCTGGTATTCTCCTGGAGTGGAGCACACATGTCGGATCCAGCCGAAGCCTGGTTAGTCCAGGAGCTTTGATGCCAAACCTTCCAGTGCTGCTATTCTGTTACTTTTTCTCCAGCATCCTAGTCCACCTTGATTAGGAGAGAGTAAGGGGAGGTGGTCCTTCTCCATCCAAATAGAGGCAGGGAGAAATGGACGTTTCTAAGATTCAGTTGCTCTTGCAGAAGGCAGGACAGCTATTAGGACTTCATTGTGAGCTGGAAGATGATGTCAGCCATGGACGAAACCTTGTCTCCACCTCTTCAACAGGGCGAGCATCCTAAACAGGTGAGCTAACGGCCTCTCCGGCTTTCTTCATTCATCATTCTCTGGCCCTGGCTCTATCTTTGTGCCTCTCCCGCTATATATCTCCACCCCCACCCCCCCAAGTCTAGTTCTCTCTCCTCTTTTTCCTGACTGCCATCTCCTTCCCCCCCCAGCCCCCCTCCCACTTCATCACGTGTCCTCCCTCTTGCGAAAGAGACTCACCGTGTCCTCCAGGTCAAGCAGGCTGTGTAATAGGGATTTTGCAGGTCTCCTTGCAGGAGGATCCTACTGTGGCTGCAGAGGTCTTTCGGCTCTCCGGCATGGGCGCGGATGCAAAACGGGGAGCCCTGTTTGGCTCCATCCAGAGGGGGGCAGGCTGTTGGGGGACCAGCACAGCTGTTGCTGCTGCTGCTGCTGTTTCTCTGTCTGTCTGCCATCCGCAGCAGTTCCTGTGCAACCAGGAGAGAGAGAGAAAGAGAGAGAGAGAGAGAAATAGGGACTTCAGATCTCCACCACACTGCCTTGCCGGCTGGCAACGCTCAGGAAGAGACCCCTCCCCAAGGTCCAAGGGGGTCTCTCTGGCCTGCTAAAGCTAGCAAGATGTCCTTCCTTCCAAGGATTGTTCGGCTGGGCTGAACGGAGGAGCCCAGCTGAAAGGGTTGAGGCAGCTGTGACAGGAAGTTACACAGCCACCCTTTGAATTCCCCCCTGACAAACACAGTGACGACGCAGTGCAGAAGGCAGGAAAGACCAGCGAGGCTGAATCCAGGGCCACAAGGTCCAGCGAAAGCGACGGAGGAGATTCCTCCTCATTGGATAGGGAGGCTGGGGGGTGGAGGGGGTCTTAGCCTTCGCAGAGGGATTTTTGCCCCCTTTCCATGCCATCCTCCACTTACAACTGTTTTACTGAGTGGCCGTTCGTGGTTACCAAAAGCAACTCATGACCGTTGGTTTTTTTGTGTGTGTGTTTACGGCCGGAGAGGTCAGGTGATCAAAATCCAGACGCTTGGCAACTGGCATGTACTTGCGACGGTTGCCGTGATCCCCTTTTGCAACCTTCAGACGAGCCAAGTCGGTGGGGGAAGCCACGTTCACCACGTTACTAACTTCCCAACTTCACCCCTGTGGCCAGGAAGGCCGTAAAATTGGGGGGGGGCAACTCACTTCATTGTCTCACTTAGCAACAGACGCTTTGGGCTCAGCTGTGAGCGTAAGGGGAGGACCCCCTCTCTAAATGAATAATAAGATTGGGGTTGTGGGCGTACCAACTCAAATTGGTGGAAGGGTCTTCTGGAGGAAGTTGGGGGCCAGCGATGTGCGTGCGTGATTTCTCTCCCTGTGAAAAGCAATTCCCTCTCCCCCCCACCTTTCGTGGGGAGGGAGGGTTCCCTTCCTGACGGTTAGAACAATTAACCAGTGGAACCACCTGCCTCCAGAAGCGGTGAATGCTCCAACACTGGATGTTTTTAAGAAGAGACTGGAGAGCCGTTTGTCTGAAATGGGATAGGGTTTCCTGCCTGAGCAGGGGGTTGGACTAGATGACCTCCAAGGTCTCTTCCAACTCTGTTATTCTATTCTATTCTATTCTATTCTGTTCTGTTCTGTTCTGTTCTGTTCTATTCTTCTTCTTCTTCTTCTTCTTCTTCTTCTTCTTATTATTATTATTATTATTATTATTATTATTATTATTATTATTATTATTATTATTATTATTCTGTTCCTCCTGCTAGGCTGTGCCCCCAGACTTCTGTCTCCAAATCCTACCGTTATCTCTACCGTAGCTCTTAGGCTGACCTATTTTCTCACCACCAATGGAGTTTCAGGTGGTGAGAGTGGTTAATCATGATGAAAGCCGGATCGGGTGAAGTTTGCTCTCATCTCCTTCAACTTCATTAGCCCAAAACAGCTTTCTGAGGCCAGCTGGCAGATAATCCGAGCGAAGCTGTTCAAAGATGGGAGTTGAGATGTTTTGTTTGGCTGGACTGGCCGCTAGGATTTCTGAGCAACTGCTCCTCAGAGCTGTTTTCTCTAGGACGTTGAGCAGACGCCCCCAAAGTTTTTTCATATATATATATAAGATGTAAGAGGATGGAGGACCTGCATGGTGTCAACCGAAATTGAGCCATGCTCATTTTCAGCCATGCTCATTTTCAAAGTCTGTCTCTATCTGTCAGAACCATGACGCATGGATAATCGATATGTTTTATGTATGCAGTGGGTTTTATGAACTATTCATTGACCAATTCTTATTCTTATTCTTCTCCTCCTCCTCCTCCTCCTCCTCCTCCTCCTCCTCCTTCTCCTCTTCTTTCTCCTCTTGTCTATCTACTCCTTCTCTACCTTTCCTCCTCCTCCTCCTCCTCCTCCTCCTCCTCCTCCTCCTCCTCCTCCTTCTTCTTCTTCTTCTTCTTCTTCTTCTTCTTCTTCTTCTTCTTCTTCTTCTTCTTCTTCTTCTTCTTCTTCTTCTTCTTCTTCTTCTCTCCCTTCTCCTCCTGTCTATCTTCTCCTCTATCTTGTCCTTCTCTATCTTCTCCTCCTCCTTTCCTTCTCCTTCTCTTCTCCTCCTCTCCTTCCTCTTTCTTTATCTTCTCTTCATCCTCTTGGTCCTTCTTCTCCTCCCGGCGACATTGCCAGTTTGATGACTTGAACGTCCCTCAGCAAGGTGCTGCTACAATAACCCACTTCATCCTCGTATCAAAGTGAACGTTTCCTTTAAGTAGAGCTAAACCCCGAACTGGGCGCAATGCATTTACACAACTTTCTTACTCATCATACGAAACTTGCTCTTCTAGAATATTTTCCAACTTCTAAGCTGGCTCACTTGCTCACGGTTTCCCATCCCACAACTAACCCAATTGGTAGCCCAGATATAACAGTCTAACCTGAAGTTGGCATTAGATGGGGAAAAGGATATTTGATGGCATCTCTTATGCCACAACAAGAATTGTGATGTGTCAGGCAAGAAAACCATCTAATCTCAGTCTCCTGTTTCCTGCAAGGGCCCTTCAGCTGCCTTTGTGATTCCCAGACCTTAGCAAGAAAATAAATGCCCTTATTCTTTTACTGCAAACAGCCACCTGAACAGGTTTTCACGCCCTTGAAGTCAAAATGTATCCTTGACCCTTTAGGGAGTGAATGATCTTCCTTCATTGTGCATCCTGCAGGACTGGTTTATGCTCCGCAAAATAAACAGATCCCTCTTTCTTAGAGATGCAGGATCCAGGAGCGATGATCCTAGAGACCAAGTCGGCAAAGCACATATGTCAGCTTGCGAGGGCTTGTGCGTTGCAGCTTGTTAAAATTAAAACAAAAGCAGCTCTTTTTTTTTTTTTTTTTGCAAGACAGCCAGCAGTCCAGCATCTACACTTTTTGCAAACTGTACCGCTTTCCACCTACACAAGGTTGCTTTGTAAATCTTTCGGCTGCGGATTGGCTGCTTAAAATTAGGGGAATCCGGAGTTTCGAGCCTCTAGTTCTTGGCCAAGCCACATCCTCTTGTGTTTGGGAGTGTTTTTAGCCGAGTAGTCTCTGCGCTCGTGAAAGGATGGGCTGGCGGGGAATTACCAGAGGAAGCAAGTCAGCTGCGGAAAGTACCGAAAAACTTATTGTCAGTTTCGAGTTGCGTTTGGAGACCACACGTCAACACTCAAAAGTGCCTCCCGCTGAGTGCAGCGGTGCTGACCTCTGCGGACAGGCTGAGTAGTCCTTTCTAGGAGATCATTGTATTTGGGTTCTTGCAAACCCACAAGGGAGGCCCCAAATTTAACTCGGCAAATTTCACGTTTGTTGAGTTTTGCCCCGTTCTTACGACTTTTCTTGCCACTGTTGTTAAGTTGCAGTTGTTAAATTAGTCTCCACGGTTGTTGTCAGAAGTTCGCTGAAGGGGATCACGTGACCCCACTCTGCGACCGTCGTAAATAGGAGTCAGAAGCATGTGAATTGTGATCGCGTTGCCCTGGGGATGCTGCCACGGTCGTTAAGGGTGAAAAGCGGTCGTAAGTCACTTTGTTCAGGGTAACTTTGAGTGGTCACTAAAGGAACTGTCGTAAGATGAGGACTGCCTATATATAAAAAAAGACTCGGTATTGTAGATTGTCACACCGGCTTTTGCGAATCAGTGAGTTTTGGCACAGGTTTGTCATGTTTTGAGGAGTTTTTCTTCTTTCCTTAAACAAGGAAAAGGAAAAAAGGGGGGGATTTGCAGAAGGGAAATATCTAGAGCGGGAGGGGTTCTTGAAATTTGACATTTTTCTCTCCCTCCCTTTTTTTTCCCCCCTGAAGCACAAATGATCTTGCTATCCTGTGATTTACACCTTTCCATGACTTCTGGGTCCAGCGGTTTGGGCGTTCGACCATTTTTAACGCATTATTTTACCGACCGTTTTTAACACATGCAAATCTGGGGTGGTTTATTGCACATAAAATTTGACACGTGCGTATCAGATATGAAGGCTGAGTGATTTATTACGAACGTCTATCCTATTTTTTTTTGGAGAGAGATTTATGATGATTTCTTTTTTTTTTAAATCAGGAAAAAGGGAAGTACTAAAACTTTTTTTTTTTAATTGGCTGTTGGGAATCTTCCCGAGTCTTTCCTGCTCGGTTTGGAAATTCCGGTAAGCACCGCCTACAATTTCAAAGGAGTCATGAGGACTAGAAGCTTTTGAAGGTTTAAACAGTCAGCCACACAAGAAGTGAGTAGCCATTTGAGGGTGATATTTAAGATTGGAGGAAGCTAGCAAATTAGCTAGTGAGGTAACTTGGGGTGAGAGGGAAAAAAAACTAGGCCAAAGTCACCCAACCGGCTTTCACGGCTAAGGTGAGACTAGAACTCACCGTCTCCTGGTGATGGGCCCAAAGTCACCCAATGGGCTTTCACACCTAAGGTGAGACTAGAACTCTCAGTTCTCCCAGTGATTGGCCCAAAGTCACCCAATGGGCTTTCACGCCTAAGGTGAGACTAGAACTCTCCGTCTCCCGGTGATTGGCCCAAAGTCATTAGGCTTTCATACCTAATGTGGGACTAGAACTCACCATCTCCTGGTGATTGGTCCCAAAGTCACCTATGATGGATGAGGAATTCTAGGAGCTGAAGTCCACACATCTTAAAGTTGCCAGGTTTGGAGAGCCCTGATCTAAAGCATGATCATATCCCTACTTGCTTAGGAGTATGCAAGTCCATAAGAAATTGTCAAAAATGCTAGTTACAGGAAGCCGGAGACCTGTTGCAGGTCTTCTGAGGAGTTTTTAACAACCGATGAGAAAGAGATCCTCTGCAAATTCCTCCAATGAATCTGTAAATGCCTGGCAAAACCCACAGTCGGCATTTGAGGACGGCCACCACTCAATCCACGTCGAATCGTCCAAAGGATACTGGTATCTACGGAGAAGAAAAAGGATATTTTTAAAGGAAAACCAGCAGATGTTCACATGGATGGAGGAAACCCAGGTGGCTGATGGGTGTTTTTTTTTTACTGCACAATCACAACAGCGGAGCTGCTGTAAAAAAAAGTGTCAGCTAACAACGTTGTAGTTAAACTCGCTTCAGGGTCCTGGTGTTAACGTCCCTGAGTGGTGTTTCTCAACTTGGGCAACTTTGAAAATGGGCTGGACTTCAACTCCCAGAATTCCCCAACTGGCTGGGGGATTCTGGGAGTTGAAGTCCTACCCAAGGTTAAAGAAGAGTGTCCTAGAGCATGCCCTCTTTCTCAAAAAAAGGTTTTGGGTGACGGATCGCCCCTCCAACAGAAAGATGGTTTGCTTACCTGGCATTGGCGTCCTGTCCTGTCTTCAATGCCTCTTTTCCCATGATCAAGTAATTCTGCGTTGGATTCAGCTGGATGTCCGTACAGGAGCTCTTTTTAATAAAGATGATTTCTGTGTTCTTCTCGGCAAAAGTCACCCCTGCGGAAGAGTTGAAACAAACTGAAGGGAACCTACGAGTCAAACATTCTCCCACTGTGTTTAAATCTAATAGAAGAGCCTAGAATGTAATAGAATAGAATAGAATAGAATACAATAGTATAGAATAGAATAGAATAGAATAGAATAGAATAGAATAGAATAGAATAGAGTAGAGTAGAGTAGAGTAGAGTAGAGTAGAGTAGAGTAGAACAGAATAGCGTAGAATAGAATAGAATAGAATAGAATAGAATAGAATAGAATAAAATAGAATAGAATAGAATAGAATAGAATAGAATAGAATAGAATAGAATAGAATAGAATAGAATAGAATAACAGAGTTGGAAGGGACCTTGGAGGTCTTCTAGTCCAACCCCCTGCCCAGGCAGGAAATCCTATACCATTTCAGACAGGTGAATGTCCAGTCTCTTCTTAAAAACTTCCAGCGTTGGAGCATCCACAACTTCTGGAGGCAGGTTGTTCCACTGATTAATTGTTCTTACTGTCAGGAAGTTTCTCCTTAGTTCTAGGTTGCTTCTCTCCTTGATTAGTTTGCATCCGTTGCTTCTTGTCCTGCCCTCAAGTACTTTTTAAGATAATTTTTTTTTTAATCAGGAAAAGGCCCATTTCAGAAATCTAACATGCTAATCGTTGCAAAGTGTATGTGTGCTGAATGCAGTTGTGATTAATACTGAAACCTCAGCTAGCATTTCCCCCTTAAGTATCCATCTTTTATGTGGGTTTTTTTTTCATTGCTAACGTGCCTTTCTGTGTTTTCTTGACACCACATTTTTAGAGCCGTATCTTGATAGGCGAATCAAACTCTAACATACAGGGAAGTGGAGACGCTGAAGGACCATGGCGTTGCAATCGGCACGTTGATTTGAGGACCCGAAATCGCAGAGCCATCATCCAATGGGCAAGCCACAGTAGCAGGAAGCAAAAAAAATATGATTGCTTAAATAGCAGCAATCGTTTTAAATAAAGAAACGTTGAAGCCACCCAGAGTCATCTCAAAAGGACCGGTGGACATCATAAAAATGTAATAAATCAACGGAGCCCTTTCCAATCAGTCTAGCCCGGCGTTCTCACCTAGTTTATAGGGTTCCAGGAGGACTGCGTTGTATTTAACAAAGCTCCCCTCTTCCTTGGATGATTTGATAACCACTTTGTAAACTGAAGGGGTAGAAAGCAGAAAGAACCATTTGTTAAATAAATACCATCATCATTGCTGACATTTTACACACATACACACAAAATACACACGCATGCATGCAGAGAGAGAGAGAGAGAGAGAGAGACAGACAGACAGACAGACAGACAGAGAGAAAACAGGCAGACAGACAGACAGACAGAGAGAGAAAGAGAGACAAACAGGCAGACAGACACACACAAAGAGAGAGAGAAACAGGCAGACAGAGAGAGAGAGAGAAAGGCAGAGAGAGAGAGAGAGAGAGAGAGAAACAGGCAGAGAGAGAGAGAGAGAGAGAGAGAGACAGGCAGACAGAGAGAGAGAGAAACAGGCAGACACACAGAGAGAGAGACAAACAGACAGACACAGACACACACAAACAGGCAGACAGACACACACACACAGAGACAGACAGACACACATACACACACAGTCCTTCTTTAGCTACACATTCCTTCACAGATAATAAAGATTATATATATATATATATATATATAATCCAGAAATTTCAACAGAATGATATCCCACAATCAGGCAGCCTTCAGGATCTGCCCCTGCCTGTGTGCATCTGAAGTGCTAGCTAAACTGACAGCCCCCCCCCCACCTCTTAACATCCCATAAGGGATCGACCTTCCTTCCCACAGTGTATTGCCTAGAATGATATAGAACCTGCGCTAAAGTTGGAAAAATGTGCTTTAAAACGGAGCCTCCAGGCCCACCCTTGTGCCTTGTAGCCAGCAAGGAAATCTACGTTATCGCCAGGAAGGGTTTGGGCATCCCATTCCTGGTGCCCTGTTTATGGGACTGTTTTCTTGTAAGCCTGGGACCCTTACCATAGGCAATGTTCTGCTGGCAAGCGGCCTCTTTCCGGGTATCCAAAGTTATGGAGGTGTCCATCCGGGGCTGCATATGTCCACATTCCGCTATATTTTGAGGAAACAGAAGAATCTTTTTAAGCAAGAAAATGGAAACAGAAGAGATCCTGTGGGATGCATCTGATTGGAACACTTGCCTCCCCTTCAAACTTAAACTCCTGTTTTTTTCCTCTCTCTTAAATTCTAGTATAAACAAGCAGATGCAGAATTTTCTTTCCTTGGATGCACAGTTTAGAGATGTTTGGGGGATGATGCTTTAAATTTACCTGCAATTCTTCCCCCCCCCGCTCTCTCTCTACTGAGACTAGGAAGTAGGTGGGAAAAATACAAATTCCCTTCCCAGTGAATCATGTTATATGATCCTCTGACACATTGCTTGCTCATATCAACCATGGTGACCTAAAGAAAGTTCTTTTGTTAAACAAAATAATAATAAATAAATTGAAGCAATTTTTAACCATTTCCCCCCCACCCCCCCGGTCATTTAATTCAAGTTACTTTTTGACTGCTTACCTTCCATACATTTGCATTCGCTGCCTTCACATAATTTAACAAGAGATTCTTCTCCGTAAGCGTTATAAAAAATGGTGCACCGTTTTTCTGTAGAAACAAAACAAAACAAAAGAAAAATCATTTTCTTGAAACCGAGAGAGATTGATCGTGTATTTAAGTTAGGGAAGGGGAAGGGGGAAGAGAGGGAAAGGAAATGAAAGGAAAGGAAAGGGGAGGAAGGAGGGAAGGAGGGAGGGAAGGAAGGAAAGGAAAGGAAAGGAAGGAAGGGATGAGCAGGGAAAGGAAGGGAAGGGAAGGAAAGGGGAGGGAGAGAGAAGGAAGGAAGGATTATTTTATTTATTTATTTATTTATTTATTTATTTATTTATTTATTATTATTTTATTATTATATTGTACTGCACTGTATGGTGCTGTACGTCCGGTGCTGTATGTCTGGTGCTGTACGTACAGTCCTGCACGTACGGTGCTGCACGTGTGGTCCTGTACGTCCGGTGCTGTACGTACTGTCCGATACGTATGGTATTGTACGTCCAGTACGGTACGTCCGGTATGGTACATACAGTACGGTACATACGGGAAGGAAGGAAGGTGTGAAGGGAAGGGAAGGGAAGGAAGGGAAGGAAGGGAAAGGAAAGGAAAGGAAAAGAAAAGAAAAGAAAGGAAAGGAAAGGAAAAGAAAGGAAAGGAAAGGAAAGGAAGGGAAAGGAAGGGAAAGGAAAGGAAAGGAAGGGAAAGGAAAGGAAAGGAAAGGAAAAGAAAGGAAAGGAAAAGAAAAGAAAAGAAAGGAAAGGAAGGGAAGGGAAAGGAAAGGAAAGGAAAGGAAAGGAAAGGAAAGGAAAAGAAAAGAAAGGAAAGGAAAGGAAAGGAAAGGAAAGGAAAGGAAAGGAAAGGAAAAGAAAAGAAAGGAAAGGAAAGGAAGGGAAAGGAAAGGAAAGACGAGGAAAGGAAAGGAAAGGGCTAAATTCTCTTGAAATAAGGTAGATTTTTGAAAAAGCGGAATGCCAAACAGGAGCCAGCATTCCATTCAGTAGAATAATCAATACTAAAAT